CCTTCGTAAGTTTAGCACGATTTTCACTGATATTTCTTTTGTGCTTTTTTCATAGGCCTGTGGAAGATCACGCTGTGTTGTAGTTTATTGGCAATGATTATATTGATAAGTTTGGAAACGTGTCACTCATCCCTTGTATCGTGGATTTCTTTTCCCATTTCATCAGAATGACTGTAATTTTTCTTTACTAATAACGCTAATAGCAATCCAACGTTGCAGCTAGTAGTACCATCTGACGAGGTGGCCGAGTGGTTAAGGCGATGGACCGTTAATCCATTGGGGTCTCCCGCGGGTTCGAATCCCATCCCTCGTCGACAGGTTACTTTAGTAATCAGTTTTCATTTGTTATTTTTGACCGAAAGTAGAATATTGTGTATATTAATGTCCACTGAAACGGTTGCATATTGCTTGCTTCTGTACATTGCTAATTGGCTGACTAGGACGAATACCCAGGCTCCTGCGAGCTGTTTTTGTTGAGGAGAAGCTGTGGAGTGAAGGCGAAGCCAGGTACATGATTAACGAGCTTCTTACCTTGGTGACTCGGTCGGAAGGTGAAACGCGTGACTACCCTTTGGCACGAGGATATGCAGCAAATACAGCTTCTGGTCGATCTTTCCATAGTCATGTAAAAGAAAGCAACTGCATTTCCACTATCAGCTGACAGGTGGCTGAGTGGTTAAGGTGATGGACTGTTAATCCATTGGGTCTCCCCGCGTGGGTTCGGTAACCCATCCTCGCTCGATGGTGGTTCTTTTTACAGAGAAGTGCGATATTTTGCCTGCCCTTCAGCAAGTTTAGCAAATGATTTTCAATGATAGCTTGTGCTTTTCATAGGCCTTGTGAAGATCACGCTGTGTTGTAGTTATTCGGTAGTTAGATTATATTGATGTTTGGGGAAAACGTGTCACTATCCCTTGTGCACGTGGATTTTTCTTTCTTTCCATTTCATCAGAACAGACTGGGTACCATGAATAGCTAATAGCAATCCAACGTTGCAGCTAGTAGTACTATCTGACGAGGTGGCCGGAGTGGTTACGCGATAATCGCTAATCCATTGGGGTCTCCCCGCGTGGGTTCGAATCCCATCCCCGTCGACAGGTTACTTTAGTAATCAGTTTTCATTTGTTATTTTGACCAGTGCTTTTAGAATGTTGTGTATATTAATGTCCACTGAACCGTTTGCATAATAAGCTGTCAACTTCCTGTACATTGCTAATTCGGTCGCCTAGACGAATTACAGAGCTCCTGCAGTGCTTGCTTTGCGAGGAGAAGCTGTGAGTGAAGGTAAGCTTGCGGGTACATGATTAACGAGCTTCTTACCTTGAGACCTGGTCAAGGTGAAAACGTAGACTACCCTTTTGGCACGAGGGATATGCAGCAAAGCAGAAGCCGGTCGATTTTTCCGCATAGTCATAGCAAGCATTGCATTTCCACCATCAACTGACGAGGTGGCCGAGTGGTTAAGGCGATGGATCGCTAATCCATTGGGGTCTCCCCGCGTGGGTTCGAATCCCATCCTCGTCGACAGGTTCTTTTCGCATATGGAGAAGTGATATTTTTATCGCCTGCCCTTCAGCAAGCTTATGGTAATTTGATTTTCACAGATAGCTTCTTTTGTAAGTTTCATGAGTTTGGGGAAGATCACGCTGTATGTAGTTTGGCTGGCAAATTTGATGATGATGTTTGGGAAAAGGCCAACAATTTCATCCTTTGTGTACGTGGATTTCTTTCCATTTCATCAGGAACAGACTGGAAAAATTCTACTACTAACGCCAGAAGTAACCAACGTTGCAGCTTAGTAGTACTTCATCTCGGACGAGGTGGCCTGGAGCGGTTAAGGCGACACCGTTAATCCATTGGGGTCTCCCGCGTGGGTTCGAATCCCATCCGTCGACAGGTTACTTTAGTAATCAGTTTTCATTTGTTATTTTTGACCAAAAGTAGAATGTTGTGTATATTGTATCCACTGAACCGTTTGCATAATGCAAGCCGTCACTTCCTGTACATTGCTAATTGGTCGCCTAGACGAATACAGAGCTCCCTTGCAGTGCTGTTTTTGTTGAGAGAATCAGAGTGAAGGTAAGCCAGGTACATGATTAACGAGCTTCTTACCCTTGGAGACTGTCAAGGTGAAAACGCGTGGACTACCCTTTTGGCACACGAGTGATAAGCGCAGCAAATACAGCTTGGTCGATTTTTCCATAGTCATAAAAAGAAAGCATTGCATTTCCACTATCAGCTGACGAGGTGGCCTGAGTGGTTAAGGCGTGATGGACTGTTAATCCATTGTGGGTCTCCCCTGCTTGGGTTCGAATTCGTTCCTCGTCGACAGGTTCTTTACATAGAGAAGTGATATTTTTATCGCCTGGCCCTTCAAGTTCAGCACGATTTTCACGATAGCTTCTTTTGTGCTTTTTCATAGGCTCGTAGAAGATCACGCTGTGTTGTAGTTTGGCTGGCAATGATTATATTGGATGTTTGGGAAAACGTAAAATACTATCCCTTGTGCACGTGGATTTCCTTTCCATTTCATCAGAACAGACCGTACTTACTACTAACGCTAATAGCAACTAACGTTGCAGCTAGTAGTACTATCTGACGAGGTGGCCGAGCGGTTAAGGCGATGGACTTAATCCATTGGGGAAGTCTCCCGCGTGGGTTCGAACTCATCCTCGTCGACAGGTTACTTTAGTATTCAGTTTCCTTCATTTGTTATTTTGACCAAAAGTAGAACGTTGTGTATATTAATGTCCACTGAACCGTTTGCATACTAGTAAGCCGTCACTTCCCTGTACATTGCTAATTGGTCGCCTAGACGAATACAGAGCCTCCAAAGTGCTGCTTTTGTTGAGAGAAGCTGTGGTGAAGTGCAAGCCAGGTACATGATTTAACGAGCTTCTTACCTTGAGACCTGTCAAGGTGAAACGCGTGGACTACCCTTTGGTATCGAGGATATGCGTGCAAATACAGCTTAGCCGGGATTTTTCCCACAGTCATAAAAGCAAGCATTGTATTTGCCCATCGTTTCTTTTGACGAGGTGGGCTTATGGGTTAAGGTGATGGACTAAGCATCCATTAGTCTCCCCGCGTGGGTTCGTAACCCCATCCTCGTCGACAGGTTCTTTTTATGAGAAGTTGGATATTTTATCGCCTGCCCCTCAAAAGTAAGTTCAGCACGATTCTCGCCCATAGCTTCTTTGTGCTTTTCATAGGCCTGTGTAAAGATCACGCCGTGTTGTGAAGCCAGGCTGGCAATGCATTATATTGATGTTTGGGAAACGTGTCACTATCCCTTTGTGCACGTGGATTTCTTTTCTCTCATTCTAATAGAACAGACCGTACTACTTTACTAAACTAATAGTAATCTAACGTTGCAGCTATAGTAGTACCTATCTGACGAGAGGTGGGTTGAGCGGTTAAGGCGATGGACCGGTTAATCCATTGGCTGGGGTCTGCCCGCGGGGGTTCGAATCCCATCCTCGTCGACAGGTTACTTTTAGTAATCAGTTTTCATTTGGTTATTTCCTTGACCAAAAGTAGAATAAGTTGTGTGCTATTAATGTCCACTGAACCGTTTTAAAATACTAAGCCGTCACCTTCCTGTACATTGCTAATTGGTCGCTCAGGACGAATACATACAGAGCCCTTGCAGTGTTGCTTTCTGTTGGTGAGAGCTGTGAGTGAAGGTAGGCTGCGGTACATGATTAACGAGCCTTTTACCCGGAGACCTGTCATGGTGAAACGCGTGACTACCCTTTTTGGTAATGAGGTATACGGCAGCAAATACAGCTTGGTCGATTTTTCCATAGTCATAAAAAGCTGCTACCGCATTTCCACCTATCAGCTGACGAGGTGGCCGAGCGGCTACAGCGATGGATCGCTAATCCATTGGGGTCTCCCCGTGTGGTCTCGAATCGCATCCCTGTCGACAGGTTCCTTTTACAGAGAAGTGATATTTTATTCGCCCGCCCTTTCAGCAAGTTTTAGCACTACTTTCACCGATAGCTCTTTGTGCTTTTCTTCATAGGTCTGTGTGAAGATCACGCCAGTTGAAGTTTGGCTGGTAAAATGATTATAATGATAAATTTTGGGAAAACGCGTCACTAAATCCCTTGTGTGCATGTGGAGTTCTTTTCCATTTCATCAGAAATAGACTTCGTAATTACTACTAACGCTAATAGCAATCCAACGCTTGCAGCTAGTAGTACCATCTTTTGACGAGGTGGGCTGAGTGGTTAAGGCGGTGGACTGTTAACCCAACTGGGGTCTCCCCGCGTGGGTCTGAATCCCATCCCTTGCCGATACACAGGTTACTCTTTAGTATTCAGTTTTCATTTGTTATTTTGACCAAAAGTAGAATGTTGTGTATATTAATGTCCACTGAACCGTTTCTGGCCAATAAGCTGTCACTTCCTGTACATTGCTAATTGGTCGCCTAGGACGAATACAGAGCAGAGATTCCTGCAGTGCTGTTTCGAAGTTGAGAAGCTGCTGAGTGAAGGTGCTTTCAGGTACATGATTAACGAGCTTCTACCTTGGAGACCTGTCAAGGGTGAAACGTGCGATGACCACCTTTGGCACGAGGATATGGCAAAATACAGCTTGGTCGATTTCTTCCATAGTCATAAAAAAGCAAGCATTGCATTTCCACTATCAGCTGACGAGGCCGAGTGGTTACAGCGATGGACTGTTAACTACTGGGGTCTCCCCGCGTGGGTTCGAATCCCATCCTCGTCGACAGGTTCTTTACAAAAGTGATATTTTATCGCCTGCCCTTCAGCAAGTTCAGCACGATTTTCAATGATAGCTTCTTGTGCTTTTTCATGGCCTGTAGAAGACATCACGCTGTGTTGTAGCTCTGGCTGGCAATGATTATATTGATGTTTGGAAAACGTCACTCATCCTTGTGCACGTGGGATTTCTTTCCCCATTTCATCAGAACAGACTGTACTTACTACTAACGCTAATAGCAATCCAACGTTAAAGCAGTAGCATCATCTGACGAGGTGGCCGAGTGGTTAAGGCGATGGACTCATAATCCGTTAGGTCTGCCCGCGTGGGTTCGAATCCCATCCCTCGTCGACAGGTTACTTTCTAGTAATCAGCTCTTCATTTCGCTTATTTTTGACCAAAAGTAGAAATGTTTGTGTATATTAATGTCCACTGGAACCGTTTGCATAATAAGCTGTCACTTCCTGCAACATTGCTAATTGGTCGCCCGAGGACGAATACAGAGCTCCTCTGCAGTGCTGTTTTGTTGCGAGAAGCTAGAGTGAAGGTAAGCCAGGTACATGATTAACGAGCTTTACCTTTGAGACCCTGTCAATATGAAAAACGCGCGGACTACCCTTTTGGCACGAGGATATGCAGTAAATACAGCTTGGTTTTGATATTTCCATAGTCATAGTACAGAAAGCATTACATTTCCACTCATCAGCTGACGAGGTGGCTGAGTGGTTAACAAGGATGGACTGTTAATCCATTGGGGGTCTCCCGCGCGGGTTCTGAATCCCATCCTCGTCGACAGGGTTCTTTCTACAGAGAAATGATATTTTACTGCCTGCCCTTCCGTGCTGTGTGTTTAGCACGATTTTCAATGATAGCTTCTTTGTGCTTTTCATAGGCCTGTAGAAGATCACGCTGTTGTTGAAGCTCTGGCTGGCAAATGATTATATTTGATGTTTGGGAAAAACGTGTCATCATCCCTTTGTGCACGTGGATTTCTTTCCATTTCTATCAGAACAGACTGTACTTACTACTAACGCCAATAGTAATCCAACGTTGCAGCTATAGTAGTACTATCTGACGAGGTGGCTGAGTCGATACATGCGATGGACTTGTTAATCCATTGGGGTCTCCCCTGCGTTCTGAATCCCCATCCTCGTCGACAGGTTACTTTTAGTAATCAGTTTTCATTTGTTATTTTGACCAAAAGTAGAATGTTGTGTATATTAATGTCCACTGAACCGTTTGCATAATAAGCTGTCACTTCCTGTACATTGTTTACCGTCTTGCCCGCATCACGGCGAGCCAAGTTTTCGTTTATATGTTTTGAGCAGCGTCAGTACGTTTATTTTAATTGTTTCACCCTATAACGCGTCTTGTCGCCTTAAAATAGAGGATATGCAGCAAATACAGCTTGGTCGATTTTTCCATAGTCATAAAAAGAAAGCATTGCATTTTCCACTATCAGCTGACGAGGTGCCGAGTGGTTAAGGCGATGGACTGGGTTAATCCATTGGGTCTCCTTCGCGTGGGTTCGGAATCCCATCCTCGTCGACAGGTTCTTTTACAGAGAAGTGATATTTTATCGCCTGCCCTTCAGCAAGTTTAGCACGATTTTCAATGATGAAGCTTCTTTGTGCTTTTCAGGCGGGTAGGAGAGATCACGCTGTGTTGTAGTTTTGGCTGGCAATGATTATAGTATTGATGTTTGGGAAAACGTGTCACTATCCCTTGTGCATCGTGGATTTCCTTTCCATTTCATCAGAACAGACTGTACTTTACTACTTCAACGCTAATAGCAATCCAACGTTGCAGCTAGTAGTACTATCTGACGAGGTGGCCGATGGTTAAGGCGATGGACTGTTAATCCATTGGGTCTCCCCGCGTGGGTTCGAACTTCCATCCTCGTCGACAGGTTACTTTAGTAATCAGTTTTCATTTGTTATTTTTGACCAAAAGTAGAATGTTGTATACACGTCCACTGAACCGTTTGCATAATAAGCTGTCACTTCCTGTACATTGCTAATTGGTCGCCTAGGACGAATACAGAGCTCCTGCAGTGCTGTTTTTGTTGAGAGAAGCTGTGGAAAGTGAAGGTAAGCCAGGTACATGATTAACGAGCTTCTTACCTTGAGACCTGTCAGCGGTGAAAACGCGTGACACCCTTTGGCACGAGGATATGCAGCAAATACAGCTTGGTCGATTTTTCCATAGTCATAAAAGAAAGCATTGCATTTCCACTATCAGCTGACGAGGTGGCCGAGTGGTTAAGGCGATGGACCGGGTTAATCCATTGGGGTTCCTCTGCGTGGGTTCGAATCCCATCCCTGTCGTATGCAGGCCTTTTTACAGAGAAGTGATATTTTATCGCCTGCCCTTCAAGCAAGTTTAGCACGATTTTCAATGATAGCTTCTTTTGTGCTTTTCATAGCTACCTTCCTGTAGAAGATCACGCTGTGTTGTAGTTTGGCTGGCAATGATTATATTGATAAGCTTTGGGAAAACGTCACTATCCCTTGTGCACGTGGGATTTCTTTCCATTTCATCAGAACAGACGGTGTACTTCACTACTAACGCTAATAGCAAATCCAACGTTGCAGCTAGTAGTACTATCTGACGAGGTGGCTGAGTGGTTAAGGCGATGGACTTAATCCATTGGGGTCTCCCCGCGTGGGTTCGAACTCATCCTCGTCGACAGGTTACTTTAGTAAATCAGTTTTTCATTTGCTATTTTGACCAAAAGTAGAATGCGTTGTGTATATTAATGTCCACTGAACCGTTTGCATAATAAGCTGTCACTTCCTGTACATTGCTAATTGGTCGCCTAGGACGAATACAGAGCTCCTGCAGTGCTGCTTTTGTTGAGAGAAGCTGTGAGTGAAGGTAAGCCAGGTACATGATTAACGAGCTTCTTTTGCCTTGGAGACCTGTCAAGGTGAAAAACGCGTGACTACCCTCTTTGGCACGAGGATATGCAGCAAAATACAGCTTGGTCGATTTTTCCATAGTCATAAAAGCAAGCATTGCATTTCCACTTATCAGCTGACGAGGTGGCCCGAGTGGTTAAGGCGATGGACTGCTAATCCATTGGGGTCTCCCGCGCGTAGGGTTCGAATCCCATCCCTGCCTCGACAGGTTACTTTTAGTAACTCAGTTTTCATTTCTTGTTTATTTCGGACCCCAAAAGTGGTGAATGGTGTTGTGCATATTTAATGTCCACTGGAACCGTTTGCATACTAAGCTGTCACTTCCCGTACATTGGCATAATTGGTCGCCTAGGACGAATACAGAGCTCCGCAGTGCTGTTTCTGCTGAGAGAAGCTGTGCGTGAAGCGTAAGCCAGGTACATGATTAACGAGCTTCTACCTGGAGACTCTGTCAAGGTGAAAACGCGTGACTACTCCTTTAGCACGAGGATATGCAGCAAATACAGCTTGGTCGATTTTTCCATAGTCGTAAAAGCCAGCATTGTATTTCCACTTTCATCAGTTTTATTTGAGGCGGCTGGAGTGGTTAAGGCGATGGACTGCTAATCCATTGGGGTCTCCCCGCGTGTGGGTTCGAATCCCAACCTCTGCCTATTGTTCCTTTGAAGGCAGGCGATATTGTATCGCCTGCCCTTCAGCAAGTTTAGCACGATTTTCAACGATAGCTTCTTTGTGCTTTTTCATAGGCCTCAGAAGATCATCACGCTGTGTTGTAGTTTCTTGGCTAAGTAAATGTGATTATATTGATGTTTGGGAAAACGTGTCACTATCCCTTGTGCACGTGGATTTTCTCTTCCATTTCACCTGAACAGACCGTACTTACTACTAACGCTAATAGTAATCTACCCAGAAAGCGTAGTAGTACTATCTGACGAGGTGGCCGGAGTGGTTAAGGCGATGGACTGCTAATCCATTGGGGTCTCCCGCGTGGGTTCGAATCTCATCCTCGTCGACATGGTTACTTTAGAAGCAATTAGTTTTCATTTGTTATTTTTTGACCAAAAGCAGAATGTTGTGTGTATTAATAACCACCGAAACCGTTTGCATAATAAGCTTGCCACTTCCTGTACATTGCTAATTGGTCGCTCTAGGACGCAATACAGAGCTCCTGCAGTGCTGTTTTTGTTGAGAGAACGTTGTGAGTGAAGGTAAGCCAGGCAGCATGATTAACGAGCTTCTTACCTTGAGACTCTGTCAAGGTGAAAAACGCGTGACTACCCTTTTAGCATTTATGATATGCAGTAAATACAGCTTGGTCGATTTTTCCATAGTCATAAAAAAGAAAGCATTGCATTTCCACCATCAGCTGACGAGGTGGCCGAGTGGTTAAGGCGATGGACTGCAGATCCACAAGGTCTCCCGCGGGTTCGAATCCCATCCCTCGTCGACAGGTTCTCGTCAGAGAAGTGATATTTTATCGCCTTTAGTTCCTTCAGCAAGTTTGTTAACGATTTTCAATGATAGCTTCTTTGTGCTTTTCATAGGCCTGTGGAAGATCACGCTGCCGTAGTTTGGCTGGCAATGATTATATTGATGTTTGGAAACGTGTCACTATCCCTTGTGCACGTGGATTTCTTTCCATTTCATCAGAACAGACTCTGTACTTACTACTAACGCTAATAATCCAACGCTACTAGTATCTGGAGGTGGCCGAGTGGAAGGCGATGGACTGGGTTAATCCGCAGTGCTCCCCGCGTGGTTTTCCATCCTGGCGAAGGTTACTTTAGTAATCAGTTTTCATTTGTTATTTTTGACCAAAAGTAGAATGTTGTGTTTATTAATGTCCACTGAACCGTTTGCATAATAAGCCGTCACTTCCTGTACATTAAAGTTAATTGGTCGCCTAGACGAAATGCTGTTTCCCGCAGTGCTGGGGTTTTGTTAGCGAAGCTGTGAGTAGCTGCAAGCCAGGTACATGGATTAACGAGCTTCTTTACCCCTTTGAGACCTTTGGCTCGGCTGCGGAAAACGCGTGACTCTACCTTTTGGCGTACTGAGGATATGCGGTGCAAATTACAGCTTTGGCTCGATTTTTCCATAGTCATAAAAAGAAAGCATTGCATTTCCACTATCAGCTGACGAGGTGGCTGAGTGGTTAAGGCGATGGACTGCTAACTGATTAAGGTCTCCCGCGTGGTTCTGAACCCCATCCTCGTCGACAGGTTCTTTTACAGAGAAGTGATATTTTATCGCCCGCCCTTCAGCAAGTTTAGCACGATTTTCAATGATAGCCTTTGTGCTTCTTCTTTACAGGCCTGTGTAGAAGATCACGCTGTGTTGTAGTTTGGCTGGCAAATGATTATATTGATGTTTGGGAAAAACGTATCACTATCCCTTTGTGCATCGTGGATTTCTTTCCATTTCCATCAGAAACAGACTGCACTTTACCACTTCAACGCCAATAGCAACCAACGTTGCAGCTAGTAGTACCATCTGACGAGGTGTGCCGAGTGGTTAAGGCGATGGACTGCCAATCCATTGGGGTCTCCCCGCGTGGGTCTGAATCCCATCCTCGTCGACACAGGTTACTTTAGTAATCAGTTTTCATTTGTTATTTTTGACGAAAAGTAGAATGCTGTGTATATTAATGTCCACTGAACCGTTTTGCATAATAAGCTGTCACTTCCTGTACATTCCTACTTGGTCGCCTAGGACGAATACAGAGCTCCCCGCAGTGCTGCTTTTGTTGAGAGAAGCTGAGGAGTGAGTTGCAAGCTGCGTACATGATTAACGAGCTTCTTACCTTGAGACCTGTCATAGTGAAAAACGTGATTCGGACTTTCCTTTTGCACGAGGTGATATGCAGCAACAGCAGCTTGGTCGATTTTCCATAGTCATAAAAAGAAAGCACTTGCATTTCCACCATCAGCCGACGAGGTGGCCGGAGCGGTTAAGGCGATGGACTGGTTAATCCATTGGGGTCTTCCCCGCGTGGGTTCGAATCCCATCCTCGCCGACAGGTTCTTTTTACAGATAAGCGATATTTTATCGCTGCCTGCCCTTCAGCAAGTTTAGCACCATTTTCAATGATACAGTTTTGCGCTTTTTCATAGGCCTGTAGAAGATCACGCTGTGGCCAGAAGTTTGGCTGGCAATGATTATATTGATGTTTGGGGAAACGTGTCACTATCCCTTGTGCACGTGGATTTCTTTCTCCATTTCATCAGAACAGACTGTACTTACTACTTCAACGCTAAATAGTAATCCAACGTTGCAGCTAGTAGTACTATCTCGACGAGGTGGCCGAGTGGTTAAGGCGATGGACCGTTAATCCATTGGGGCCCCCGCGTGGGTTCGAATCCCATCCTCGCTGACAGGTTGTTTTTAGTAATCAGTTTTCATTTGTTATTTCTTGGACCAAAAGCAGAATGTTGTGTATATTAATGTCCACTGAACCGTTTGGTATTAATAAGCCGTCACTTCCGTGCCATTCCTAATTGGTCGCCTAGGACGAATGCCAGAGCTCCTTAAGCAGTGTTGCTTTTTGTTGAGAGAAGCTGTGAGTGAAGGTAAGTCAGGCAGCACATGATTAAATTGTTTCTTACCTTGAGTATCTCGGTCAAGGTGAAACGCGTGACTACTCCTTTTGGCACGAGGATATGTATAAAGAGAAGGTCTATGTTCTTCCGCCAGTCGCATCATCGCCTCAATAGGTGCGCCCATGTTTCGCCATCATCCGTTTTCAACCCACGTAAAATTCCTAAACCCGTCCCTGCCCATGTCTTCGCAGGTTAAGAGTTCTGCCCGTCTTCCAGTTTAGCACGATTTTCTGCTAATGATAGCTTCTTTTGTGCTTTTCATAGGCCTGGTGGTGAAGATCACGCTGTGTTGTAGTTTGGCTGGCAAATGCGATTATATTGATGTTTTGGGAAAACGTGTCACTATCCCTTTTGTGCGCACGTGGATTTCCTTTTCCATTTCATCAGAACAGACTTGCACTTACTACTGCCAACGCTAATAGCAATCCAACGTTGCAGCCGCTAGTAGTACCTCATCTGGACGAGGTGGCTGAGTGGTTACAGGCGATGGATCAAGCTAATCCGTTGGGGTCTCCCCGCGTGGGTTCGAATCCCATCCTCGTCGACAGGTTACTTTTAGTAATCAGTTTCATTTGCTATTTTGACCGTGCGCGAATGTTGTGTATGTATTAATGTCCACTGAACCGTTTGCATAACCGTTTTCGTCACTTCCTGTACATTGCTAATTGGTCGCCTAGGACGAATACAGAGCTCCTGCAGTGCTGTTTTTGTTGAGAGAAGCTGGTGGAGTGAAGGTAAGTTTTAGTAGCGATTAACGATTTCACCGACCGTCAAGGTGAAAACGCGTGATCACCCCTTTGGCACGAGGATATGCAGCAAATACAGCTTTATCGATTTTCCATAGTCATAAAAAGAAAGCATTGCATTTCCACCATCAGCCGGACGAGAGGTGGCTGAGCGGTTAAGGCGATGGACTGTTAACATTGGTCTCCCCGGCGTGGGTTCGAATCCCATCCCTGTCGACAGGTTCTTTTTACAGAGAAGTGATATTTTTATCGCCTGCCCTTCAGCAAAGTCTTCACAGCACGATTTTCAATGATAGCTTCTTTGCGCTTTTCATAGGCCTGTGAAGATCACGCTGTGTTGTAGTCATTGGTACCGATTATATTGATACTTGGGGAAAACGTGTCACTATCCCTTGTGCACGTGGATTTCTTTCCATTTCCATCAGAACAGACTGTACCTACTTACTTAGCAATCCAACGTTGCAGTTAGTAGTACTATCTGACGAGGTGTACGTGATGGTTAAGGCGATGGACTGGTAATCCATTTGGGGTCTTCCCTGCGTGGGTTTCGAATCCCATCCTCGTCGACAGGTTCTTTTTACAGAGAAGTGATGTTTTGTCGCCTGCCCTTCAGCAAGTTTAGCACGATTTTCAATGATAGCTTCTTTGTGCTTTTTCATAGGCCTGTAGAAGATCACGCTGTGTTGTAGTTTGGCTGGCAATGATTATATTGATGTTTGGGAAAACGTGTCACTATCCCTTGTGCACGTGGATTTCTTTCCATTTCATCAGAACAGACTGTACTTACTACTAACGCTAATAGCAATCCAACGTTGCAGCTAGTAGTACTATCTGACGAGGTGGCCGAGTGGTTAAGGCGATGGACTGCTAATCCATTGGGGTCTCCCCGCGTGGGTTCGAATCCCATCCTCGTCGACCACTTCCTGTACATTGCTAATTGGTCGCCTAGGACGAATACAGAGCTCCTGCAGTGCTGTTTTTGTTGAGAGAAGCTGTGAGTGAAGGTAAGCCAGGTACATGATTAACGAGCTTCTTACCTTGAGACCTGTCAAGGTGAAAACGCGTGACTACCCTTTTGGCACGAGGATATGCAGCAAATACAGCTTGGTCGATTTTTCCATAGTCATAAAAAGAAAGCATTGCATTTCCACTATCAGCTGACGAGGTGGCCGGAGTGGTTAAGGCGATGGACTGGTTACCTCCCTTGATTCGGAGGTGTGTGGACGTGTTGACGAGAGAGTGATAGATTTTCTCGGATATCATCGTTTATACTTGCGTCTGGATTTCAATTCGGTGCTTAGAAGGTAGGGAGAACATTCACAATGTAATTGTAGGTGAACCTGCCGTATTAGCAAGCACTTTGGTGCGTGCTCAAGACTTTGTCTTCTTGTTGATATCTTGCCGACTGGATACAAAATGGCGGACATCAAATCAAAAGAAAGTATCAGAAAGACTGCACAATTGAAGTTCATGTTGGAGATAATAAAGTTATAAGTGCAACTATGCTATCCAATGCATTGGTGGAATATGTATCTGATGTGTGGGCATGTGTTTTGAAAGGCACCGATTGCTATGACGTAACAGTCCCAGATACTACCGAAGCAAGGATTCTTGCAGAAACCGATGACTTGGTCATAGGAGATCAACACATCTCATTTAGACTTCTTCACAGTGACAGCGTGGTGGTATCATTTTTACATCTCCCGCCTTACATTGATGATGTAGAAATTGAAAGGCTTCTCATCAAAAGAGGAATAACAATGAAAAGTGATATCAAACACAGGACTCTGAAAGGCACAAACATTTTTGACGGAACACGATATGTGCGGGTTGTATTTCCCCCTCAGTGCACCTCATTACCATATTCTATGGGATTTAACACCCTAGATGGATATAGGTACTTTAGAGTTATACATAACAATCAAGAGCGTTTATGTTTCAAGTGCAATTCTGGGGCCACATGGTCAAAGATTGCCCAAATACCAAATGCTTTAAATGCAATGGACAAGGGCATATAGCCAGAAATTGCAATGCAGAAAGAAAAAACAGGAACGCAATTGCGATATATGTTTTCGTCCAATTGATATTTGCAACTGTTTCTCTGATGTTGAAGATAATGATCAGAGCAGTGTTTCTGATTCTGAGCTGGAGAGAGAGCTAGCCCCAACGAAATCTTGGGATGAGGTTCCTCTGGACCATGAGTCAAATGAGAACCATACAGATGGACCAGAAGAAGAAAAAGACAATGAAGAGGAAGAGACAAAAGGAGAAGAAAAGGAAAAGAAAGGCTGAGGAAGCACATCCACGTGCAGTTCCGTCTTCTGAGATCATTCCTAGTTGTGACAAGGAGAAGGACAATGACAGCACGGACAAGAACGCTTTGTCTCAAGATAGACTTGACATAACAGAAGATGATAAAGACATTCAACAAACACTTGTGACACCTGCTAAGTGGACAATTTCTTCACGTAAACGTGCAAGAAGGCACAAACTACAGCCAAAGTTAACAGACACAGTAATACATAGCAATGACTTGAAAAATAAAGTGAGAGAAAGCAAAAAAGACCAACAAAAGAAAAAGAAAGCAGAAAAGGTCAACGACAGAAGAGAACTATCAGGTGTGTCGAAAAGTGTTATGGAAACCTCATAATGTTGTTTATTATCCATCTATTTCTCTTTATTGTAATGGTCACAATATGGTCATGGAATGTAAATGGACTCCGTGATATAGCTAAAATGCAAAATGTATTTGCACTAATTCAGAATTCGCACGTTGATATTGCATTTTGCAGGAAACCTTTTGGTCAGATGAATATATAGAAAAATATAAACATTTATGGCCAGGAACTATTTTATATTCTAATGCAGAAAATGACAGAAGAGGTGTAGCGATATTAGTCTCAACTGGTTTTGAGCAAAAGTTACGATGCTTAAAAAGATGAAGATGGAAGAATAATAAAGGCTTCTTTATCTATTGAAGATAGAACAGTGAGTTTATTAAATGTGTATGCCCCAAATGAGATTAAGGAGAGAATACATTTCTTCAACAATTTAAGAAAATGGATTGAAAAAGAACATTTAATTTGTGCTGGGGATTTTAATGAGATAATAAATCCTTTTACTTGATAAGGGCATAAATAATACATCGTTTAACATTCAAAGTAGCAACGTTTTAAACAATTTTCTCACCAATAACAACTTTGTTGATATATGGAGGTATAAAAACTATGACAAAAAAAAGAGTTTACTAGAATGCAGTATGTGTTAGGAGTTCTTAAACAATCTAGAATTGATCTCATAATTGTTTCAAGAGATCTTATTACAAGCGCTATAAACAGTTACATTAGATACTCCTCTGTGAGTGATCACAGCATAGTTGCACTGAGGTTGGACTTTTCTTCAGTAGAAAGAGGTCCTGGGGTATGGATTTTTAATAATCAGCTTCTGGAAGATTTTACATTCTACCTAAGAATTATTGCATTAATAGAGGAGGCAAAACAGTGCCCTTTACTTAAAAACAGAGCCATTGATATGGTGGGATAACTTAAAATACAAGTTCAAAACATTTTCCAGATTTTATGCATCTAAAAGGCAACCAAGCAAAAGCTGATTATTACAAAATTCAAAATAAGCTTAGAATTGAATATCATAAAATATCCTCCATTCCTGGCTATACATCTACTGATTTACAATCATTGGAAAATGAACTTGAGATATATGAGAATAATAAATGCAAGGGTGCCATTCTCAGGTCAAAAGCACAGTGCACGCTGGATTCAGATAGAAACACCAGTTACTTTCTGAATCTTGAAAAAACAAACAACAGGCTAATTCAATAACATCACTCTTCAAGGAAGATGGTACGATAGCCAGGAGCACAGAGGATATTTTGGATACTGCTCAGCAATTTTACTCATCCTTATTTAATGCCGAGCAATGTAATTTAGTAAAACAACAGGGCCTCATTGATAACATTGAAAAAAAACTTTCTGAGGAAGAAAAAATTCATGTGACCTACCTATTTCTCAGAGTGAGCTTACAGTGGCACTCAAAGGAATGAAAAAGAATCAATCACCTGGGCCCGGACGGGCTAACTGTTGAGTTTTATTTAAAGTTTTGGGATATTTTATGTCCCTTCTTTTAGAAGTTGTGGATGGTATACACAAAGAACATAATCTTTCTCGTTCCATGAAAAAGAGTATTATCAGTTTGTTTTATAAAAGAAAGGAGACAAGAGAGACATTAAGTGTTACAGACCTATTTCATTGATTAATGTAGATTCTAAACTCATATCAAGAGTGTTATCGTTGAGATTGAGAAATGTCATGGCTTCAATTGTCTCCCCTGAACAATCTTGTTGTGTACCAGGAAGAGACATAGCCAACAACCTTCACTCTGTTCGAGATGTTATTGATGTTATCAATAATCGTAATGATGACTCCTATCTCATAAAAATAGATCAAGAAAAAGCTTTTGACAGGGTTTCACACCAATATTTATTTCAAATTCTTAGGAAATTTAACTTTGGAGATTTATTCATTTCATGGATTAAGATCTTATATACTGATATAAAGAGTTCTGTGAAGTGCAATGGCCATTTGACACCGTATTTCACACTAACCCGTGGAGTTCGGCAAGGGGATCCAATGAGTTCTATGCTATACGTTTTGATATCAGAGCCACTGAATTTAATCATCAGAAATAATCCTGATATTCATGGAATTAGCATCAGCAATGATATTAACTCTTTAATATACCAACATGCTGATGACACTACAATTACTGTCTCAGATGTTAACTCTGTCCTTGAAACATTTAGTACAGTTAACCTATATTGTGAGGCAACAGGTGCAAAAATCAACATTGAAAAATCTGAAATTTTGTTATTGGGTAAAAATAGGTTTAGTGATTTTTCAATCAAAATTCCGGTTAAAGTTAAGAGGGATTGTATAGAAATACTGGGCATTTATTTTGGCATGGACAAAGCAATGTGTGAAACATTAAATTGGGGAAAGAAAATAGACAAAATACAAGCACTGTTAAATTCATGGCTTCGCAGACAACTTACTTTACAAGGCAGAGCCATTGTTATTAATATCTTGATGAGCTCTCGTTTGTGGTATATGTTCACTGTACTACCTGTTCCGTATTGGGTTGAGAATAAATTCACTCAATTGTTCAGGAATTTTTTGTGGCACAATAAAACTGCCAAAATAGCATACAATACATGCATTGGTGTTTGTTTAGATGGAGGTCTTAATATACCAAATTTACGTTTACGAAAATATGCATTGAGGCTGAAATTGCTGAGAGTCTTTGTCAATTGCCAGCTCAATTGTATTTGGAAACAAACCATTGTATATTTTATGTCACATCTTTTGACAATGAACTTAGGAATTTATGCATTATCTCTTGAATATGATAAAACCTATTTACAGAATATAAGCCCATTTTATGCTGAACTATTAGCTGCATGGAATGAATTGAACGAAGGAAAAAGACCATTACTTAAAAAATGTAGAAGACATCATGAATCAGCCACTATTTAAAAATCCATTAATTACATTTAATGGAAAAACTCTTATGTTTCAATCGTTTATTTCAAGTGGAATTATTTGTATCAAACATATTTGTTTTGAAGTCATTCCAAAATTCATGTCTGGACACATTATTGTGAAAATAGTCCATGACACCTTACCTGAGATGGATATTAGTACCATACAACAATGTTATGGGGTTATTTTATTAGCGCTTCCATCAGAGTGGAAAAAGATAATTTTATCAGAGGTTGCCACAAAGCCCCCCTCAGGGAACATAATATGCACTGTTGATGAACAGGATCTGTCTGTTGATTTATTTACAACAAAATTTTGTTATGAAGTTCTCAGGAAAAACATTTCAAGAAACCAGTAGCTATCTCTTGGTGGAATCAAATTGCTTTAGATATCAATTGGAAAGATATTTGGCTGAATGTATGGGGAAAAGATAAATCAACAGATTCCGTACAGTTAGATTTCAAAATTGCTCATAATATTGTCTTCACATATGATAAACTCCTAAAAATTGGACTGTCAAACACTGATGTTTGTCCAGTGTGTCAAAGTGAAACAGAAGACATTTTACATCTATTCATCTTCTGCAAAGAGTTATCTTCCTTGCAAGAACTGGTGACTGAAATGTTGACAGATGTGTGCCAGGATACAGGATTTAGTTTTGGACAGTTATCCCTCTGGTTATTGTTTGGATTCTTACCAGAAAAGAAGTTGTCATGTAAATCATTCATGGACATTGTATTGTCAATTTATCGTCTTGCTGTATTTAAAAGGAGAGTTATATTGAGCCAAAACACAATATCATTTCACATGAGGGCATTTTTCAAATCATTGATAAAACGCCATTTTAGCCTGTTGTTGTATAAATATTCGAAAACAAATCAATCACACATTTTCACTCAAAAATATGTCATGAGCAATGCATTCATATCGTTAGATGGAAATGAGATTATTCTCAATCCACCTTTAGATTAGAACAATACGTAGTTCATTACATCTGTAGAAGTGCATGTATTAGAGCTGAATGAAATACATTGCATATTTATTCATGTACACATGTGGATTGTAAATTGTAAAATACTTATGAATATGCTTTCTCTCTTTACAATTGATATGTTAACCACTACCACCCAAACTCTGTGATAAATATTTTATTTTTGAGGTGGTAGTGTGAGCACTGTCTGCGCCTGTAATTATCCAATCATGTGAATAAATATTTTAATGAAAAAAAAAAAAAAAAGCATGGTTGCCTTCCAAGCAGTCGATCCGGGTTCGATTCCCGGCCGACGCATCTTTTTATTCCTGGAGGAACATGGGTGGAGAAATTTGGCGTTCACGTCCGACTGAAGAAAGTACAAATAACATCCTCCATGAATATGCACCATGTTGATATGTATAATTTTCTGTTGACACTTTCTATTATCTCAGCCATGCTATGAAATGAAATAATGTGTGTAATCCAACGTAGAGCTGGCCGTATTATTGCTACATTGACAGCCTGACACTGTTAGAATGCTGTGCAGATAAGTACAGTTTTACGTGGAACAGTGCTAAAACCTGCAGAACATCCCGTCCTTACAAGTCCTTTAAATGGAGTCATGGAAATGGACAAATGTTCTCATTCCAACAGACTGAAGTCTATATAAAGACTCATTTGTGACGTCACAATGGCCTGACATCACAGAAACGTGACATCACTGACAACAATCACATTGCGTCACAGAGTAGATATTCGTATTAGGAGACGCGCGTTTGGAGAAAGCCTTTCCTTTTTTGCATATGGAGAGGCACAAAAGAGTGTGCATCGACCGGGAATCGAACCCGGGTAACCCGCGTGGCAGGCGAGTATTCTACCACTAGACCACCGATGCTTCACACTAATTGCGCCTTTTCTTAGCTTCTCGTTCTTTAGTTAAAAGAGAACGCTGGAAAGGAGGAAGTGTTCAGCTGACGTGTCCATTTGCTCCATATGGATACAAATGCAGTGTCCTCTTCATTTAAATAGAATTTGTTATCAGTGCTTTGTAGATTGTAGACCCTTGTTGTATAAGGCAAAAATACATTTCAAAAGTATAATTGAATTCATTTTGTGACGTAAGCCGTCTCATTTAATGGCGTGCCTCAAGGCGTGGCTAATCAATCAGCAAATTTCATTAAGATGCCTTTTCAACATCACCCAGCGTGGACAGCGTCGGTGGTGTAAAGGTTAGCATGGTTGCCTTCCAAGCAGTCGATACGGGTTCGATTCCGGCCGACGCATCTTTTTTATTCCTGGAGGAACATGGGTGGAGAAATGTGGCGTTCACGTCCGACTGAAGAAAGTACAAATAACATCCTCCATGAATATGCACCATGTTGATATGTATAATTTTCTGTTGACACTTTCTATTATCTCAGCCATGCTATGAAATGAAATAATGTGTGTAATCCAACGTAGAGCTGGTCGTATTTTTGCTACATTGACAGTCTGACACTGTTAGAATGCTGTGCAGATAAGTACAGTTTTACGTGGAACAGTGCTAAAACCTGCAGAACATCCCGTCCTTACAAGTCCTTTAAATGGAGTCATGTTCTCATTCCAACGGTCTGATGTCTATATAAAGACTCTCTTGTGACCTCACAATGGCCTGACGTCACAGAAAAGTGACATCACAGAAACGTGACATCACTGACAACAATCACATTGCGTCACAGAGTAGATATTCGTATTAGGAGACGCGCGTTTGGAGAAAGCCTCTCCGTTTTTGCATGTTGAGAGGCACAACAAAGTGTGCATCGACCGGATATCAAACCCGGGTCACCCGCGTGGCAGGCGAGTAATCCGCCACTAGACCACCGATGCTTCACACTAATTGCGCCTTTTCTTAGCTTCTCATTCTTTAGTTAAAAGAGAACGCTGGAAAGGAGGAAGTGTTCAGCTGACGTGTCCATTTGCTGCATATGGATACAAATGCAGTGTCCTCTTCATTTAAATAGAATTTGTTATCAGTGCTTTGTAGATTGTAGACCCTTGTTGCATAAGGCAAAAATACATTTCAATATGCCAGGGTGTCAAATGAAATATTGTGTGCAATGCCACATAGAACCGCTGCATTGACAGTGGGTAACTGTCAGAATGTCTATATTTGCAAATGTTTATTGCTAAATACGTATTTGAGAATTGCAAACTGATATTTTTCTTGAATAGGCAATCAAAATAGCATTTTATTTCAGGAGTATTAAGCCCTAAAATAGATACACAAGAATTATTTTTAAAATTGTGTGTGCCAGGTGTCTGAACTTTCAGGGAACCATGCTGCCATACCCCCTGGTTGAATTTAGATTGAATAAGCCGAGAAAATATGAAGGACGTTAGACTGAAGTATCCCCAGTGAAGTGAAATGTAAGCACAGTTTAAAGTTGGTTAGTCTTGTATAACTACATTGGTATATAGTTTTGAAACTTAGAACTGTAAATAATTACATAAAATAAAAATGTCGGAAAGCACACGTAAAATCTCCAAAGGAACCATATTATCCGAGGATACACTCAATTATTTTAACCAAGATGGCAGAGCAGTGTCGTTATGTTGTTGGTTTGTTTTCGTACATTCGTTATGTAAGTATCTAAACCTCTTACAATATATCGAGTTGTCCTTGATTGGAACAAGCGTGTAAGGTTACATCAAACAAGACACAAAAAAGCAAATAATTTGAACTTAATTTATTACAAATTTGAGAATTTTGGTAACATGCAACAAGTAAGCCATTTTTGGATGGACTGTTATATAAAAACACATAAACTTCCTGACATGAAAACATACATATCTCCATACAAGCATTCCTTGCCTGTGAACTTGAATTTTGCAAGAGATGCCCAAGGAACATACCTTGAATCTGCTGACTGCACATTCCATTAAACAAAATATCAAAATGATGGGTATTGTGGTTTCTATAAAAAATAATAATTGATTTTCACTGAAGTGGCTCAAAGACCCAAGAATCCTGTACCCACCCAAGCTCAAGGGTTTCACAATGAAGTTGCTCACACCAGGCAGTGGTAACAGGTTTACCCAAGTGGTAAACAGCAGCGGCCAGCATCACCTTAGCATTGCCTCCACATCAGGCTGCCATCTTGCCATCCACAGCTATAGAGTGAACTCACTCCATCATGCACTGCTGTATGTAGTATGTAGTTTATATCAGGAAGTTTCTTGCCAACGTATTCTGATCAGTGGTAGTCACACTGTAACAGTCACCTGCACACTTCAGACAGTACAAGGGAGACACAGCACAGCCATCACTGCAGACTAATTTCAGCAGCGTTTGAATACTGACCTGTACACACTATCAGTGAAACGACAACATACAGCTACAGGCTTTGTGATACACTGTACCAATCTACCCTGTGTCAACGTAAACCTCACCCTCTATCTCGATACATTAACACAGATTCTCATGTACAATATGCAGCAAATATCTACACAAATCCTGATGGTATAAAATAAGCTGAAAGCCAAGGCAAGAGTTTCATTTTAAATTTTTTTGTTGTTAATTAGTTAAAAGACAAATACGAACAATTAACATTTTAGTTTTGACAATTTTTAAATACAGAAATATATATTCTGTAAGACTGACTTGTGCTCGCTTATCTTTTGCCACGAAGGGGTTCAAAAATCCCATCACCCGACCCCCGGGACAAGTCAGTTTTCATTTCGGGCAATCAAATAATGGTATCTTACTTGTCCGTGGGCTACTAGATAATTTCCACTTATGGTTTCAAACTGCAAATAAACTTGGATTTAATTTCATATCTGCTCAAATGTAGCTTTTAAATTTCGCAAAATGGTAAAATAGAGTTATCTTTCTTTGCTATGTATCACTTTTCAATAAATAGTCCAGTAAACATTAACATCAAATGCCATGTTGATTTATTCTTTCATAATTACATCATCAGGATTATGTCATAAAATCAGAGCAAGTTGAAAATTGGTCAGGACAAGTTACTTTCTTAAAGTCACTTGCCCTGTGGCAAGTGGCTTTTTAAAATATTTTTGAACCCCTGGCCATGAGTATATGTATTACTCTTCTATTGCCCTTTGAGTGCCCTCTCAGGAGAGGATAACATGATACAGAGTACTGGTACAGCTAACAGTTCCAATCAAATACATTGGTTTGTACCACAAGGCAGACTAACAAGGTCTACATAACACACCCAAACAGTTTCAATCTTCAATACTTATCACTTACAACATTTTTCTTCATTGGAGTTATTGTTCAAATGTACATCTTTGAGCTGGCCCAGTTATCTTGGGGATTTCAATAGCAAAATCTTTCAATGTTGGTGTTGAAATTCATAAAATTGATAAAAATGGGAAACGAATATTTGGGGATTAGGGACCATTTGGTTTGCTTGATTTTACAATCATTTTGGTAATCATTTATTTACATCAAAAAAAAGAAAAATACATTTATGTGATATATAGTTCATGACGTACACAAGCAAACTGGACAACTGAAGCAGGATTATTCACACCACAGGTCATACTTCACACTTCTGTTAAATCGTAACAGCTTCGTCTTCAATAGTTTCCATGCTGATAAGTGTCAAATACTACAAAATTGAGACATTTGAGTACATTTTTAGATATTCAAGGCAGAAAACACCTAACCAGCCACAACACCATGGCAATGTTAAAACGCCTCAAATCGAGGTACTCACGACGATCACCTGACAGGTGACATACTGCTTGATGCCACAGATGAGACAAGTTTTATAACCGCTCAATTGTGGGGCATCAAGACAACTGCTGATGAACAAAGCGTTGTACATTTCAGGTATGGGAGATAACTCCATGATTTATGAATAATCTTATTGTCTCCCTTAGATATGATCAAGTCAATGACATAAAATAACATTCAACAAACATTCAACGTTAGCACAAGGGAACTGAACACAAACTTTGGATTCGAAATAAGAATTCCGACAAAATTTGCGTCAATAGCTAATACATCCTATATATGAAATAACAATCACCAAATAATGTGATACCTGAAAGCTGAGACATAGGAACTTCTTACATACAAATCCTGTATCTACTTTCTAAAAGTTTATGGCATATTGGAAAAGTCCAAGACTGGGTCTGGGGATGACAGTTTTCATAATTAAGTCAGATAATTGATTTTTCTGTTTTACAAGTCAGTCAACCAAAACAATAAGAGTCATCCAAATGGTTGAAAACTGTGGTATTTTTCAACAAGTTTTTGTTGGAATCTGTGTCGAACCTCACTGTCAAGTCTTTAAGGAATTTAACCTCAGTTAAATGATTCTTCTATTGCACTTTCTGCTTCTTAAAAGGCAATGTGGAAAACTGAAAAAATTATCAGACCAGTCTTCCTAATAACTACGGAAGACGTGAAACAACATGACCCTTAAGTATGAGTCACATACAATGCAATGACCATTCATCATGATAAGCACTAACGTTGTAGGTAGAGACAAGGAAACATCTGAATATACCGTAAACACGGTCGACTCCAGCCTCACACATGGTGTTAATCAAGACGTACTGAAGAGCGTAGCAACACTGAACAGATTTTTTGAATGTTGCACAGAATCTGCAGTGGAACTTCTCATTCATACACAGAAAATAAGCACATGTAGCAAAGACGAGTACCACATAAAGTGTAATTATTTGAGATCACCAGGACATACGTTCAAGCCTCCCTCGTTACCCTGGTATCAGGAAGCCATCACTGGACATGAATCCATCAATGCTGAATCCTGCATTTAACTCAGCCATTCTGCTAAAAAGGTTAAAATGATGAGCAAGGTTCAAGAGCTATATCCCAGAAGATCCAGAGCTGTGTGTGTTTGATCTTCATATGTTAGCCACAACTGTTAGCAAAAATAACAAATCCTCTGGGGGCTAGTTTTGTCAGCACAATCCTGGATCGGTTTTTAGGGAAGTAGTATCTGTTGAATCACACAGGATCTTTTAAAGCATCTCAATATACTTTACACTGGATACCATGTTGGTCCTGATGTGTCTGATCATCACCTGCCCACCCTACCATCAGACTTCTGTACCCCACAAGATTTTCCTTGTACCCTTGTCTCCATCCCCCTCCCCCCGACCCTACTTACTCCTATGTTCCACAGGACGGACATACATTTAGTACACAGCTATAGGAAACTCCACCAGGACACAAATGTGGGTCATCACCATGGCAACTACAGCAGGACAGAACTATGTGTAGCCGCAACCCCAAATGTCAATAGTAAACAAGGTGATACCTGTAATACATCATGCTGCATTTCCACTTTTGGGATTATCTGCATCATCTTCCTTTACACGTATACTTTCGACATATTCAAAAAGATTCATCTGTGAACCTTTTTGTCATAACTAATGTAAATAAAGACACTCTTAAATTTGCCAGAAAGGTAAGCATCACACAGACAAATTGAAATGAAAATGACTGCCTTCCAGGATGTAGGCACCCTGTCAGAGAGGTCATGGTGATATCTGAAGTGGGTCAAACAAATACGATGGTGTATAAAAACTGCCCAGGAAGTCCACATGTCTGAGGCCAACAGGCTGCCCCATGTGTCTGCTGATGTGTCTACATTCTAACACACAGCTTACTCATTTCAGGAACTGTTACCATACAGCATAACACTTATTTGTCACTGAGGTACATTCAAACACCTGTGCAGTAACCATGGCAACAGATGAAGAGTTGCTGGTTTACGCTGCATCTATGGCATGTCCGTGTCTTATTTCCAATAACAGATGCAAATACAAAGGGATTAAAGTGAAATTGGTTTGGATCATCTCACATATCTGGAGTCACTGTTGATAAAAATATTAAAATCAGATTTACATTGAGAAGATTGACCATATTGATACTGGTATTGGGAGAAGATCATTAGCAGAGTTATTGTGGGTACTTGAACACAAATACAGAATGCAAAACAATCAGTTCTCAGAAAGTACCTTCAAGAAACATGTTCTTGATCTAACTAACAAGCTCAAGACTACCAGTATTACAATCAACGCACATGATTTGTGAAGACAAACAGCAAGTTGTCCAGCATGATTTTTCACAGAAAAACGCACCTTTGCAGATACTGGGAAAGTTCTTCACTTTCGAGTGATAATACATTTAACATCATGCAAAACTTGCATTTTCTTAAACATGTTAAAGCTCGACCCACAGGAACATTATTTCAAGACAATAACATGATTCAACATCTAATTAGCAATCAATGCTATTTTCACATCACAACAACAAGTTCTACATTGTAGATGGCAGCAGAAAACTTCATCACAAGTTTGTGTAAAGAAATCACTTGAACAATATTTAACGAGAAAGTTTGTGAAATTGACATTATTTTAACTTTGATTGTGTATATCAGAAAGGATGAAGGTAAATTTCCCGCACGGTCAGAATACCCATTGAATGACAAATCATACTTGATCTGTTTTTCAGGGTACAACTGTGTTCCTAGTAGGCCGTCTATCAGTACTCAAGGCTGAAAGTCCCACAGAAACTGTTAGGATCTACACATGACAGTGGAATTCAAGGATAGCATACTAAACCAATGTTCTAACTACCGGTTCAACATCTGACAGAACATCACCCCAAACAAAACACCCACTTTAATGAAACACAGTCTCATAATATCAATTATGACTTACTTCAAGTCAATATGAAATTTATGACAATTCTTAAGGTAAATCATTATGATTATGACAATTCATAGTAAATCATATACACTCGCATAACCTTGATTCGTGGATATAAGGGAAGTGCGTCGAAATTCATATTTTAAATGCATGATTTCATTCTGTATACTCACTGATTATTTTATTCATTGATTCAGCAAACTAAAAATGCCGAATATTCCACTCATGAATGAAACGTTTGTTTACGGAAGCCATTTGCAATCATCACCCATTCGTGTGCCCACAAAATGTGACGTCACCTTGTTTCGTGGATTACGTAGTCGGTTACTTTATACCGCTATGTACGACATAACACGGTAGTAAGTATTGACACCAAGGAAAGCAGACAAGAAGTGTGAAGGTTGGAGCTAACGGTATCTTTTTTACTTGAAATTTTGTAAAAATAAAATTTGGTAATGGTGGTATTAGTGATCTGGGGCTATTTATCTCAATGCTGGACAATTATATTTAGTGTACTTGCGTGTAATGCAGAGATTTGGAACTTTTTTGTCAGTGAGGCGTGGCATTGTATGTACAGCTAGCATGATAATTTCCGCGATCCACGAATCAAGGTTATCCACAAATTTAGGTTACGGTTCTGTATTTATTAACTCTTCTACAGCTAAGGTCTTTAGAAAGGTGTGAAAAGCAGTTATCTGACCATAGCAGCTGGACGTGACACGGAGTTGACCTTGGGGTCAGTCTTTCATCATGTATCACTTGATTGGCCAAAACATATATTCAAAATATACTGAATAAAATTATGAAAATTTACTCATTAAATACATTTATCTTGTGTACATGTCAACCTGAACAATTGATATTTCACTAAATGGTGTCAATAGAGAAGAAACCGGGTCTCTTTCTGGGGTATTTCTGATTTAAAAGTGGTAACATTTTAGTAAAGGGAAAAGAATTCAAAATACATCGTATCTCTATAACACACACACAGATGCACCTGTTTGAAAATCATAGCATGACTGATACACAAGAAAACAGAAAATATTAATTTGAAATGCAGAGTGATGCCATTTCATCCGTTAATAATTAAATGAACACATCACACAAAGACGATCGAGTTGAAAAACTCAGAAATGATACTAGTAGCAGAATAATGCCCGTTTTTGTGAGTGAACCAACGCTTGGACTGATAGATAGCTACTTGTACAGTTACAGTAACCTATGACCTACTGCCACGCCACCTACAGCTCATATAAAGCTACTGGTACGTAGCAGCTGAGGCAGCAGCGGCCGGCCCCCTTCACTCACTAGCTACTAGCTCCGAACAGTAAATGCTATTACAATATGGAAGAACAACCACGATGACGATCAACCTGACCATGCAGCCGCCATTATCCAGTGAGCTGCATCAGCATTCGTTAATGATGAATCCCCGGGATCTACTCACCATGATATTGAATCCCAATCAGAATGACATTCAAACTACATTATGCATTACTGACACAAGAAATGAAGATGATAGTCATCACATATGATAATTGTGGGTACATGTTTACGACTCTTTCGTATTTGGCTCTAATCAGCAATAAAACAAGTAAGTTCAAATCTGAGAGCAGCTAGGTTTTACATATTGACTACAGTCAACGAAGCACTCCAGGAGTCCGAAGAATTACATCTTCCTGCAGAAGTTGTAATAATTTTCCCCTTTCTTCATTCCACTTGTACAGCAATTTTTCATATATGCTGACAGTTTGAAAGATGAGAAGTAATACCAAATCATATCAACTTGTAGTACTAAATAATCTACAAATGGTACAAATGTATCCCATAAATATGTAAAGTAATAAGAAAAAGCATCTCATTCCAGAATTTTAACAAAAGAAAGGTAATCTGCATCTTAATCTTGTATTCCTGTTTAAAGAGGTAAAATAAGCCTGTCACCGGCAGTGTTCTTTGGCTTTTCACATAGGATAAATCTGCTAATAATCTGATTCTGTTGCGGTGGTTAAAATATGTCGGTGTATAAAGTGGAGTGGATATACAACCTGGCCTATCTCAAAAGGAGTCTGTGACTAGCAAGGGAATCTGGTCTAAGCACTGCAGTAAATATGATACACCATGAGAATACCCAATCCTATCCACCATGTTTGCTCGTAGCAACTAGCATACCGCCATGCAACAACATAATTAGCTTTAGAATAGTGGAAAATTAGTGTGATGTTGTAGGACAGCTAAATCAAACCGATTTTCAAAGCAATTAATTAACATCCAAAACTACACATGACTTAAAGATACCACTTGAAGTAGCATAATGGTATGCACAAACCTTAGTCCTAGGGCATATTTCAACACATACATTTTGTGTTTCATATCTCTGGAAACTGAAACTGAATTTACTTACAGCAACTTGTTTTAGAGGTGCTCTATCAGGTCCAGCCATCAAACCCTGTTATTGAACATCTTCTTTTTATTATTTGGTACAACGTTTCAGGGCCGGTGATGATGGGGCCAGAACAAGCCCTGAAACGTTGTACCAACAAATAAAAAGAAGAAACCCAGAAAATTCTCTATCTTCATCAAATAGCATCTTCTAAAACAACACTCAAGCATCTAACCGTGTTATTGTTATGAGTCAAATACAGAACCTTTTAATGTGAGAACCTGACACTGATTCCATACAAATATGGTGGAAGATATCAGGTATTGTGGCGCCATTAGTATAAGCGTTCCCCTAGACTCATGATGTATGTACAGAGTATCTTGGGATCTGTCTCCTCAGGGTGTTGGTTCATCACCGCAGTGACTTTTGCTTGTGGAAACAACCCACAGAGATGGTAGTACAGTGGGTATCGGCTGTCACTGACTTCAATGGGAGTGTTAACATGCTGTGGGGACTGGGCAGAAAACGGTATCTGAGAGTGCATCTGCATGGGTTGCTGCTGCTGCTGCTGTAGCGGTTGTTGTTGCTGGAAGGGGAGATGCGACATGCTGGAGTGGGGGCTGTAGGGGTTGATGGGGATGGGGGACTGAGGGATGCTGCCAGGTCTGTTCCTAACCCCGTAGTCTGCGCTGGCCTTCCTCTCCTGACCAGCAGGAGAATACTGATCCTGTGGGGAGGGGTAGTACGTCCGCTGTATGGGATGGGGGATCATGTCCCGAGGCACTTCCCTCCAGCCATGCATGTAACCTGCTCCTTGAGGATATCCTGCCTCACCGGTCTGATGCTGCGGAGGCTGCTGGAATGGTGAGTACTGCTGATGGATTGGAGATGAGTAAACTTGATGCATACCTTTGTCACTGTCATACTTCAATTCGCCGTCTGCTCCCACCATATGCAACTGAGGGTCCGAAGTGCTGTTCTGGTGCTGTATCTTCCGGCTCACAGATGCATGTCCGGAATGGCTGGGTGCACTTGGAGCATGATGCAGGGTGGAATGTGAGTACACGTCATCCGGGTACCCCCAATACATCATCTGCCCCTTCTTGCCGCCGCTGCTGGGATGGTGTTGAGGCAGGAAGCTGGTGGGTGGGAGAGGGAAACTCTGGCACTGTTGATCAAACTCAAATGAACCTACTGACGAACCATCCTGTCTCATGAGTGCACTGGGGCCGGACAGACAGACACCAGGTTCTTGTTGGGGATGGAGCATTTGATGCGGGGAAACCCGATGGTGGTACGGACTGTCTCCCAGACCAGATGACTGAGATGTGGGCCGTTGGGGACTTGGAGGGTATGTGAAGTGAGCGGGCGATGCAGAGCTCACTTCATCAGGAGAATTGTCACCGTCCTTACTGAAGAATTTGGAATCCTTCGCTTCATCTGATAACTTTTTCGCAAGAAAGAGGTGTCCACTCACCAGCCCTTCCTTTGGCTGGGACTGGGGAACCTTCAACTGGTTGTCCTGCTGGCCCAGGCTAGAGAAATCATAGTTCTGAGTTCGCCGCCCTATGAATGACGGAGATGGTATACGGTCATCAGCAAACACCCTACGATCCATCTCCTTACGGTCCATCTCAGCTCGTTCAAGGTTCTTTCGTAACTTATCTAACTTGTCATTGTAGTCTGGCTTGTCTGGCTTGGCCATGTCCGAGAGGTCGGTGCCAGACATACTTGCCGGTGCCATGAATTCATCGGAGAGTCCTGCTGGAAACACGGACTGAGTGCGAGACAGAGGCTGCTTCCTTGGCATCTTCTTCATCATGTCCTTCGATTTCTTCTTATCTATCAAACAGACGGCAACTTATTAGTGAATATTGGAGTCTTAAGGTTTAAACTATATTCCAGACTAAATGACATCAGTTCAAGGTGTAACTGATGACCGTGTCACCCTTGGACAACCCCACTTCACCTTCTCAGGAGAAAAAAGATTCTTTAGTTATTATTTACTGCTGATGTGGAACCAATTCCAGAATAAAGTTATCTACTTTGTTAGATCTAACATTTACAAACAGAAAAAACTTGGTTTGAACCCAATGAACTGTGTGGCACCTTATGCCACTGGGCCACCGATGCCCCCTCAAATGTTATACGTCCACCCACCCAAATGTGCGGCACCATAGAACACTGGACTACCTCTCCACACCCAACCATCACTTACCATCAACCCCTTTGGAAGCATACTCCTGCATCTTCTGCTTGGCCTGTTCCTTGAGCTTGTCCGTGACCAGTTGGTGGGGCTGATTCTTCCTCTCCGGGTGGTGGTACCGACACTTGCTGCCATACGTACACTTCTTGCCGTACGGACATTCAGGGGGCAGGGGCTCCGGCACAGTTGGCTCCTTACGTAGAAAGTTATCGAGAGTTGGGCCATGCCTTCCAAGGGGATCGTCAGGGGGCATGAACCTGGTGGACAGTCAAAAGATGTTCTACAAAATGGCAACTTGATTCATTGTCTAGGTCTCTCACTGCTCCACTGACGTGGACACCAACTTATCACAAGCAAGTAGCTATCCATATTCAAGACAAAATATTCACAAAAGATGCCGAGAGATTATTTGAGCTCTTGAAGTCAAACAAGAATTTATTACTCGAACTCGACACATCACTGACTGATCTGAATCACTAACAACAGATGTACATTTCCAAGACACTGCTCCACGATTACAGTAATCTGTTTCTTACACAGACTGGAATCAGAGTTTTTAGCACTGACACAATGTAGTTATTATCCATCATCATGATGACAGAGGACCAGTAATACGGAACACAGTGGTCACTTGTGACATCACCCAACCTAATGCTCACTACCCACACCTAGCGTGGCCTCCACACAAACATTTCAATCCTGTGGATTATCAAGGTGAAGAGGAAAAATCCTAAGAGCATTTGTCAACCCCCAAAAAACATTCAACACAGGCATGAGTTCAACCGAAGCATCACCAACTTATCAATAAAATACATACTAAGATGCTTCAGTGAAAGATCAAAGGCGCCAACAGTACTTTATCAGACGATAACGTGCACTTTTTGCATTACGTCACAATGTATTGGCGTCACTGCGCCATTCTAGTCTGCCCCCTCGTAATCGAACAATTTTGCATACGTCACAATACAAGCGACGTCATGATGCATGTCAGTTGTCATCGCCTCGTACAGCCTCCTACAGTAAACTACTCAGTTGCATCCCGTTTCTTGGTTTGCAGTTGCTTCACACAGCTAACATCACTGGTGGAAACATTACGTTTATGTTTTCTGACGGTTAAAATGTCTCATTCGTGGAATGTCGCTTGACTACTCAGCTTCATCTGGATGTCATTGATCTAAACTTACGTTGGTAAGAGAAATGTGACATTCATAATGCCCCATATGGTTTACGTTAATTACAGATGTAATTAAAATAATTTAGAGAAGATATTTAATCCAAACGTAAACCGTCATCAAACTGTTATCATTTGTTTTTTCTGGTAACGTTCGTCTTAACGTAGGGGGGCAGATACATCAATAGAACAGCGTGCCAGTTAGCCCTGTGTGAGGCTTCTTAATTTAGGTCACCGACACTGTCGTTGTTTTTTCTGCCCTAAATTAATTGTAATTATCCTTAGAAATTTAGAAAGTATTACATTTGGCATCTTAGAAAAGAAATACAGTTCGCTCTACCACCATGTATAGTGTAATAAAGCACACTTTCGCCCTGAACTATTATAGTTAAAGTACGAGGACGCTTGTATTTCTTAAATCAGGAAAGAAGTCTGTCATAATCTGACCTGAAACCTTCCCCATGGAGGAGTTTATCAAGGAGAAGTTGATCTCAAACATATACATCCTACTTGTTATCTCACATGGGTTTGTCACCCAAAGATGTTATAGAAAACTTGTCATCTCACTGGTCCTTAAATCCATCTCTTGTTTTATCAACATAAACTTGCCTGTTTGATGCAAAGGTGTACAAAAGTAGTCTCTCTTCTACAACCTTCTTGAACTCTGGCTTTTCGTTGACTAGGTCACGGTAGTTGTCATTGGAGACAACTATCCCATCAACCGCTGCCGCCAGCTTCAGAATGTACCGATCATCGTAGCAGACCACACGTCGTCCTCCGACACGCCGGGCAGGTGTGAAGCTGAGGATACCATCCTTCTCCAGCTGCAGCAGAATGTCCTGATCTGGGGACAACAACATCATGTTACACGGGCAAACATGGGACATGACGCTAACAGGAAAACATGGGACATGACGCTAACAGGAAAACATGGGACATGACGCTAACAGGAAAACATGGGACGTGACGCTAACAGGAAAACATGGGACATGACGCTAACAGGAAAACATGGGACATGACGCTAACAGGAAAACATGGGACATGACGCTTACAGGACAACATGGGACATGACGCTTACAGGAAAACATGGGACATCACGCTAACAGGAAAACATGGGACATGACGCTAACAGGAAAACATGGGACATCACGCTAACAGGAAAACATGGGACATCACGCTAACAGGAAAACATGGGACATCACGCTAACAGGAAAACATGGGACATGACGCTTACAGGACAACATGGGACATGACGCTTACAGGACAACATGGGACATCACGCTAACAGGAAAACATGGGACATGACACTAACAGGACAACATGGGACATGACGCTGACAGGAAAACATGGGACATGACACTAACAGGACAACATGGGACATCAAGCTAACAGGACAACATGGGACATGACACTAACAGGACAACATGGGACATGACACTAACAGGACAACATGGGACATCACGCTAACAGGACAACATGGGACATGACGCTAACAGGACAACATGGGTCATCACGCTAACAGGACAACATGGGACATCACGCTAACAGGACAACATGGGACATGACGCTAACAGGAAAACATGGGACATGACACTAACAGGACAACATGGGACATCACGCTAACAGGACAACATGGGACATGACACTAACAGGACAACATGGGACATGACGCTAACAGGACAACATGGGACATCACGCTAACAGGACAACATGGGACATGACGCTAACAGGACAACATGGGACATGACGCTAACAGGACAACATGGGACATGACGCTAATAGGACAACATGGGACATGACGCTAACAGGAAAACATATCACGCTAACAGGACAACATGGGACATGACACTAACAGGACAACATGGGACATCATGCTAACAGGACAACATGGGACATGACACTAACAGCACAACATGGGACATCACGCTAACAACATGGGACAAACATGGAAAACATGGGACATGACGGCTTAACAGGACAACATGGGACATGGCGGCTAACAGGACAACATGGGACATGACAGGAAAACATACATGACATGACGCTAACAGGACAACATGGGACATGACGCTGACAGGAAAACATGGGACATGACACTAACAGGACAACATGGGACATCACGCTAACAGGACAACATGGGACATGACGCTAACAGGACAACATGGGACATGACACTAACAGGACAACATGGGACATCACGCTAACAGGACAACATGGGACATGACGCTAACAGGACAACATGGGACATCACGCTAACAGGACAACATGGGACATGGGCTAACAGGACAACATGGGACATCACGCTAACAGGACAACATGGGACATCAAACAGGACAACATGGGACATGACAGCTAACAGGAAAACATGGGACATGACACTAACAGGACAACATGGGACATCACGCTAACAGGACAACATGGGACATCACACTAACAGGACAACATGGGACATGACACTAACAGGACAACATGGGACATGACGCTAACAGGACAACATGGGACATCACGCTAACAGGACAACATGGGACATGACACTAACAGGACAACATGGGACATCACGCTAACAGGACAACATGGGACATGACGCTAACAGGACAACATGGGACATGACGCTAACAGGACAACATGGGACATGACGCTAACAGGACAACATGGGACATGACGCTAACAGGACAACATGGGACATGGACATATCACATCAAGCTAACAGGACAACATGGGACATGACACTAACAGGACAACATGGGACATCACGCTAACAGGACAACATGGGACATGACACTAACAGGACAACATGGGACATCACGCTAACAGGACAACATGGGACATGACGCTAACAGGACAACATGGGACATGACGCTAATAGGACAACATGGGACATGACGCTAACAGGAAAACATATCACGCTAACAGGACAACATGGGACATGACGCTAACAGGACAACATGACGCATCACGCTAACAGAAAAACCTGGGACATCACGCTAACAGGACAACATGGGACATGACACTAACAGGACAACATGGGACATCATGCTAACAGGAAAACATGGGACATGGCGCTAACAGGACAACATGGGACATGACGCTAACAGGACAACATGGGACATCACGCTAACAGGACAACATGGGACATCACGCTAACAGGACAACATGGGACATGACACTAACAGGACAACATGGGACATGGGGACAACATGGGACATCATGCTAACAGGACAACATGGGACATCACGCTAACAGGACAACATGGGACATGACGCTAACAGGACAACATGGGACATGACGCTAACAGGACAACATGGGACATGACGCTAACAGGACAACATGGGACATGACACTAACAGGACAACATGGGACATGACGCTAACAGGACAACATGGGACATGACACTAACAGGACAACATGGGACATCATGCTAACAGGACAACATGGGACATCACGCTAACAGGACAACATGGGACATCACGCTAACAGGACAACATGGGACATGACGCTAACAGGACAACATGGGACATGACGCTAACAGGACAACATGGGACATGACGCTAATGGGACATGGGACATGACTAACAGGACAACATGGGACATGACAACATGGGACATGACACTAACAGGACAACATGGGACATGACGCTAACAGGAAAACATGGGACATCACGCTAACAGGACAACATGGGACATGACACTAACAGGACAACATGGGACATCATGCTAACAGGAAAACATGGGACATGGCTCTAACAGGAAAACATGACGCATCACGCTAACAGGAAAACCTGGCACATCACGCTAACAGGAAAACATGGGACATCACGCTAACAGGAAAACATGGGACATCAGGCTAACAGGTAAACATGGGACATCACGCATGACAGGCAAACATGGTACAACATGTTTGGGATGAATTTTCTTTGTAAATGTCCCTTGTCGACCAAGTTGATTGCAATCCATTGCTTTTCAGAAAGGTGAAATTCACATTCAAATATTAGCTTTCAAATTAGTCAAATTAGCTGTTGCAATCAAAGGTTGTTATTTCAGATTTGAAACATCAAACTGGCCAATCAGAACTATCTTCTAAACATGATGAAAGTCAAGGCAGAATTTCCTAATATTGTCGTCACATCAAGCTCAATGTAACCAATGGGATATACCTGACAAATGTTTCATATCCAACAGCATGTCAAGGGTAAAGCAGTGCCCCTGGTTGGACAGGGATGTTTGTTCTAAAGAATTATGCTACACGTACTTCTATCTTTTAACATTTCCATGACAGATGGAAAACAAAATGCATTAGCCACACTAAACATGCCAAAGATAAACACATTAATACACTCCTTTATTGTCAGTCATTTATCTGACAGTGACTGATATATGAAACACACGACGGATCTTGAAATCTCGTCCTACTCAGATTGATAGTGCTGGTGACAAACCTGTGATTGGGGCATCGGGACGTGAAGTCTCCTTCCTCCACTGTGGCACAAACACTGTGATCTTCTCATGTCCGCGTTGTCGGAACCAATCCACAGCAAGCTTAATACCATTGCAAGAAAACACTTCCTTCCCATGGCTATAACACAAAGAAAACAGAGTTCAGCTGCAATAGGCTCTCATCTTGCCAACACCTTGTCTCGCGTAGGTTTACTCTCATTTTTACAACAACTCATCTTTCAACAACAAGCATGTTTAGTGAGTGAGTGAAAAATGGTCACGTCACAGTGAATTAAAGCTGGTTACATGACAGTTAAAGTGAAGAAAACAATTGTTACGCCATAGTGTGTGAAAGCTGGTCACTACACAGTGACAGGGTGAGGGAAAACTGGTTCAGTAATAGTCTAGAGTAAAATTTATTAAATTTAGAGTGTGCGAGTATAGTTTTACATCGCTTTGTGGTATATTCCAGTAATATCACAGCAGGGGATATCGGAAATAGGCTTCACACATTGTACCCATGTGGGCAATTGAACCTGGGTCTTCCACGTGACGAACGAACGCTTTAACCACTAGACTACCCCACCGCCCCTTATAGAGAGCGTGAAATCTGGATACACCACAGTGAGAGAAAACTGGTTACATAATAGAGTAAGACTTATTACACCATAGAGTGTGTGAAACAAGCGAGTGAGTGATACATATACCACTTGGTAAGTGAGAGAAATCTGGTTACATGCCAGCAGTGTGTAGAGCTTGCTTACACCCTTGTATGGAAAACCTGGTAATATTGCTGTAACTGAGTGAGTGAAGGCTGGTTACACAGTTGCCATGTCAGTGACAGCTCGATACACCATAGCATGAGTATGATGTTATAAACCCGATACAAGTCATTATGATAACCAGGTGTAACATATGGTATATTTGGGATTACACTTTCTTAGTAAAGTACAAATTCTAGTACTTTTTTTAGTTGAGACCCATCCGGGATTTGAACTCACACCCTCAGAGTCAGGCACCTAACCGCCAGCACACAAAGTCAGCCGCCTAACCCGCTCATCTACACAATAATGGAAGTCGGACAACTGGTAGTCTAGACTGCAGGCTTTGTGTACCCCTCTGATAAGTGTTAAAGATAAGATAACCAGGTGGATACAGTCAACAAAGTCATGAGAGTTGAGTTGCCTCCCCTGGAACTGTGCGTTTCAAACTCCTCACAGAGTTCTCTTCCATGATCACTACCTCCATTCACAGCTCCCCACTGTGCTTGGGAGCCTATAGCCACACATGAAGGTGAACTCACAACTGACGCAGTAACTGTTCTGATGACAAACTGGTGGGAACTGACACACTACCACCAGCCAGTACACAGAAACTTCATGCTGGGCACAAATAGATACAACTCTTTAGCATATACTTAAGACCAGAGCTCCAGATAATAATTAGCTTATGTGGGTACTGTACCCACTGTGGTTTTTCCGGAGTGGGTATTATGAATGTTGAGTGTGTATTTCATTTTCCGTTACCTACTGCTTTCAAATATGTGCGTATTTCAGTCATTTTACTCACCTAAGTATGATGTCATTGAGTAAGCAGGTATGTTCTGCCTTATGTCATACCTAATCAAAACCAACTTAAATATAATGGAAATGATTTCATAAAAAATCACTTGTCCTATACTAACAGTACAACTTCATAGCAATCGGTGACTTTTTCATTACGCAAGCGATTTTTATAAATATATTCCGTACACATTTGTTTTAAACTTTTTGCGTATCTAACATTCTAAATGCATAATTGGTATGCAACAATTATTTTTCAATGTGTAATTGGACATTTTCTATGCGTATTTTACCCGGACACGCAGCTTATCTGGGCCTCTGTAAGACGGGCCATAAAAAACCAGACTGCCTTACCTCATGGCAACATTGCTGCCATCGATGACGATGTGGCGCAGGTTGCTGCTGTCATCGATCACATCTCTTTTCCTCCTCTCTATGAGCCCTTCTACATCTTCAAAGCTGTCAATCTTTTCATCAAACCGACTGGAGTCCTCCTGGTTGCCTTTCGATGACGATCCCAACTTGATCATCTCAGACAAAACTTGGTTCTGGTCAGCATCAAATCCCAGTTTCTGTAATGCCTGAATTAACTGATCTTCAGAGTAGCCCAGCTTCACAGCCTTCTCCAGTTTGGCCTTGTACTCAGGTGAGCTGAACCTGTCCATGTCCAGATCAGATTCGGGTGGAGTTGCTTCGCGAACTCGTACTGATACTATCCTCCCGAAAACTTTCACCTTCCGTGACTAAAATGGGTGACTTTGCTATGTCTGCAACAAATGCGCCCCTCTCAATGAGGCCTACATCGGGGCGGTAGTTTCCACTCTGAGAAGAATGACTGGATTCTGTGTTATCAGTACCAACTTCATCAGACCGGAGGTGATCAGACACTTCTGGCGACAAGGGAGCGGCGTCTGTGAAGTGCTCTGGACTCAAGCGATCCCCAAGGATAGGAGAGTCTAAACAGCTGACTGACAAAGAAGAAATTTTCTTTCTGTCTAAAGGAACCGGCAAGACACTGTCTCTTTTAAGAATTTGACTGATGCAATCTCTTACTACTTTGACACTTGTCTGTTTGCCTTGTATTCTTAAAGTACACTGTGGGAGGACATCAACGAATGCTTGTGAAAGAAACTCAATCTTTTCATGATATTTTAACACCATGTCGAAGTCTTGCTGAGAGAAATTTAAGGTGTCGCAGACGACAGTTGGATTTTCACCGAGTACTGCCTCCAAGTAGATCTGTAAAGACAACATTTCAAATTTATTATCACAATTTGAAGAAAAAAGCAATACTGTACCTCTAAACACAAGGGTTTTGGAGTATGTGACATTACTACATGGCAGTCTTCATATGTAGGGCTCATGAAAGTCCAAAGCAACTATCTGCAAGATTACTCTCCACAATAGTTATCTACAGCACCACTCCTATAGTCTGTTTGCAGTGAAAACGTACCGATGAATTTCACTTTAAACAAAAAAGTAAATCAAGTTAAGTGAAATTATGATGTTCATTTGGCAAGGTAAAATTATGAGGATTCGCAATCTTAATTTCACTTTATTCCATTTGTTTAGAGTGAAATTCATCGGTACGTTTTCACTGCAAACAGACTATACAAACTGAGCTCTGAATGAGTGAGTGAGTAAGGTTTTACTCTGGTTTTAGCAATATTCCTGCAATACACTGGCAGGGAACACCGGAAATTGATTTTGCACATTGTACCTATGTGGGGAATAAAACCCGGGTCTTCGGGTGACGAGGGAATTCTTTGACCACTAGACTACCCTACAAAATTGGAATCTTTACACACTGTAAGATAATTTCTTCAAGTGGCATGTAGAAGTTAGTACATTGAAGGGGAACATGTTTAACGGATTGACGACTCCTTTACATACACTTTAGGATAAAAGTGGTAGATGGTTTATCAAGTTGTGAGAGTTATGTCCCTTTGTTGACATGCACGTTGTTAATGTCGATCATCAGCTGTGGTTCAGTTCAGGACCTAGATTTTCGAAGCTCTCTTAGTGCTAAGATAGTCGTAAGTGACGTGCATTAACATTACCTTAGAGCTCACGATCCAGTTAAATAAAACAAAACAGCCTGAAAACCAAAACCTTAAAACCAGCCACAAATAACCCAAACCTGTAATGGGTTTCCATTCATTCCATTCTGCCTGCGTCATCCCTTAGGAAGGGGAACAGCCAAACAAAACCTGAAGTATTCTCCCCAAACTTCTACAACAGCATATCATAGATGAGGAATCAGATACCCAAGGCTAAAGATTTAACCATTTCGAAAGCATGATACCATTTCATCAGGTTTGACTGCATATTTAAGTCATGAAACCATTGTTTTTTTAATTTCTATGAGGGGAATATACCATCAGGTGAAAGGTGTTTGCAAGTAATAGTGATAGTTTTATAATTTAAAAAAGATTGTTAGGGTGTATTTGAGGTGTGTGAAAAATAAGACATATCGCCGATCTGTTCTGATCCGTCATTGATGCTTGTGATGCTTCAGTGTTATAGTTCTAAAACTTTTTTCTTTCTTGTTGATCTTAGTATTTGACAAAACTGGAAAGGTGTTTACAACGCTTTGTGATAGTTCTAAACTTTCTGGCTGATGTTTACACATGTGTTCTAGAGATAGTTTAGCGTTCTTTGACATGTTTGGGGAGGGATGGTCGTAGTGTATCATTTATTCTTTCATTCATTCACATATGTATTTTTCTTTTTTCCTTTTCTTTATTTCTTTCATTCATTCACATATAATTCTTGCTCTTAAATAATTCATTCATTCATTGTAAATTCCGACTGATACAATAAACTGGCTGAAGTACTGTTAAACGCAGCCGAAGTTGTGCTGGGAACGAACCAAATCACTCTGTGCGTTGGAGCATGACGAGGCACACGCTAATTAGTACAAATGGTAAAGAAAGCAAGCGAGTGACCTATCCCTGTTGTAGATTATCCCTGCTTATATTAATGAGTTCTGCTCATCCAAGTTTTAACAGCTGACCAACAGCATCTAGAAATTTGGGTGGAGGTATCCGCTGCGTAGTGGTCAGCTGTTGCTTCAGTTTCTGGCTCAAAACTCCCTGTACACCCTTTTAATCTTAGTCGTGTAATGGTCATCAGCTGTTTTTTCACTGACTCCATTGCACATAACCGAGTGCAGATATACATATAACTTCTTTGAGTGGCATTTTAGAAGTTGGGAAGTACAATATAGAACAAACTTTATGGATAACAACTTCTTTTTATTCGTGAGTGCGACGTTTCGATACAGATTCTTGTACCGCTGTCAAGCAGCATAAAATGAAGTTGTTATCTATAAAGTTTGTTCTATATAGATATACATATATTGCAACGAATTAATTTCACTATAACCTACCCAGTCTTGAACACCCATGCCAACAATGTTGTCGTCGTGCCTATACTTCAAGCAACTGTCTAACTCAAGTACTCGAGTCTCATGACTATCGGAGTTTACTTCCTAGATGATTAATCTCCACGTTCCAATAATAGAAACAGAGTGTGCGTGACCCGTGCTACCTGTCGTTACCTTTCAGCAACCCGGAAACACAAACTGCGCAGTTGGTTGTTATGGCCGACAGCCTGATTCTGTTGGTGTCAGCTCGACCGCCTATTACTAACTGTTCTGCTGACAAATTGCCTCTCCAACAATACTTACTTTCGCCTTTTCCAAACTTTCCTGTGGACGAGTACCCGTAGCACACAAGCGAATTTTGCACGGCCCATCGTCTTTCAAAGCAATGAACGATGTATGGGTGGTTACCCCAAACAGCCGTGACACTCGCTCCTTACATCTTTCAACAGTGCTCAACTTGGATCCATGAATTGAGACCTCATCCTCTGCCATAATATAGAATAATATTCGATGTCATATTACGCGTTGACAGGGCTGTGTTTGGAGGACTGCTCTCAATCCCAAGGAGCCGCTCACGATCGCCATCGGTCTCCCAGCATGCTTCGCGACTTACTTCCTGGTACTAAAGATAGACCCAGCACATCCGACCAACTTTCCTCAGCGTGGGCAAGTCATGCGTTCGTAACAAGTAAAAACAACTGATATGTCACCACAGCCGATATAAATGAAATGTCTGATCGTGTTACGGTTATAGGCGTCCGATCTGTTCCATGTTGAAAAAGAAAACGTTTTTTAAACAACTCGTAAAACTAAAACATTCGCACAGAGTTTTAGATAACGGTTTATACTGTAGTAGATCTACTAAAATTCTTGAATGTGTTATTAAATCTATACCAGTTAAATTATATTCATATGTGGAATATGTATCTATTTGTAAAGCTAAGTTACTTTTCCCACAAATCACCTTGTCGCTATGTTATGCTATGTTTTCTTTCCTTTTTTATAAGGGGCGGTTAGGTATAGTGCGTGAGTGAGTGTATGAATGATCATAGGCGGATCCGTGTGGGGTGGGGGGTGCGCACCCCCTTTTGTCCTGAAAGTTTGTTAAATGACCATTGAAACGCTCGTGAAAATGGAGTGTGCACCCCCACTTTCTCAAGAGTGTGCGTACACACACACGCGCGCGCGCGCACGCTCGCTCACGCAAACACGCACACGCACACACCCGCCCTTATTTAAAAAGCTGTATCCGCCCCTGATGATTATAACAGAATGAATATGTTTACAAATTGTAATTATGATTTGTGTATAGGCCAATGGCCTTTCATGCAATATACACTTTGGCTTTGAGTGAGTGAGTTTAGTTTTACGCCGCACTCAGCAATATTCCAGCTATATGGCGGCGGTCTGTAATTAATCGAATCTGGAACAGACAATTCAGTGATCAACAGCATGAGCATCGATCTACGCAGTTGGCATACGATGACGTGTCAACCAAGTCAGCTAGCCTTGACCACCCGATCCTGTTAGTCGCCTCTTACGACAAGAATGGATTACTGAAGATCAATTCAAACCCGGATCTTCACGGGTGGTTAGGTATAAGACTAAAAGGCCACTATAGTGGTTAAACCGCTCTCGACATAGACGGCCGGGGTCGAATCCATACAATTGTACAATCACTACAATGTTTCTGGAATACTGATAAAATGTCATCACACTTATCAAGGAGTCTGTGTGAGATCGTGTATATATACGAGATCATATATCCGGGGAAATGCGATTATGCGTGACAATATAGTTTGTGGAGGAAGTCATCCCTTTGTTAGAGATATATTGTTGTGTTCCGAGGATGTGATGTGTTCCTTAGAGCAAGGGGGAAAGTCAACATCTGTCAAATCGTTGTGTACAGATATATGGTACGAAATGAACGATATGGTCTTGAGCTGCTGCAATTCGTCATGCAGTGTTACGTCCCTTTCGGGTTCGAATCCCAGACGATTATGTCCCGTGGTTGTCTCCAACTTTGTCTCGCTAGTAAATATATATGTACAAATTAACAGTAACTATGGGGGCTTAAACTCAGATTCTTTAAACAGTTATCTTGTACACAGTTACATACCTTAAACTCACATCAACACCGTAGCTGAAAACAACCTGTGTACTGAAGTGGCCAACGTCGTTTAACGCTATTGTAAGAAAGCAGGTCCTAGAAAAGATTGTTAGGAATTCTGTTTGATGTTTCATACCGCATACCGCCTGCCCCCTTATACAAACAACTCATCTTATAAACACCATATTAACTCTCTGAGACTCATCTGCGTCCCTTTATATTTGGAATTATCTGATGGAAGCTGTATGCTTGTTATTTCATTCGTTGTTACAGGCTGTCAGTTTGTCACCAGTATCCTAATAAACAGACCTCACACCCGGGCCTGTGTGATCGTGGTTACGTCAGCACACATTCATAGATGTATAGTGCCTAATACACGGATACATACGAGGTTCATAACCTTTCTATCAAATGTCAAAACTGAAATACGGAACGGAGGGATAGCCTAGTGGGTAAAGCGTTCGCTCTTCACGCTGAGGACCCGGGTTCGATTCCCCAAATGGGCACAATTTTGGTGTACACCAGCGTGACATTGCCGGAATATTGGTAAAAGCGGCGTAAAACTAAATTCACTCACTCCTTTTTGAAATATTCGATGTTGAAGATGTATTTTCTCTCAAAGACAGCTGGTGATCGTAGAGCACAATGACCTTACCTATGACTAATGTGTATACAGTGACACATCGTTGTTAACAACGCTCCAGAAGAAGCCGTTTTAAAACGATGGGGGTTTAAATGTCATGACGTTTATTAGGAGATTGTCCGCAGAATTTGATCTGCTGAAATGCCTCGTCTCAGGCGGGTCTTCTGCTCGGCTGTCAAACGAGAGAATCCACAGATCGAAGTGAACAATTTGAGTCATGAGATTTCTTACAATTGCGAGCAAGTATGATTAGAAACCGGTTTTGAACAAATAGCCTGAGTGATTCTTCCGGTTGGTTCTGCAGCCATCGTTGTCTGTAGTAATACGTACATCCCCGTCGGGACAGCCTATACCCACTGAGGACGTCAATATATTATTGACCAAGCAGACATTACAGGGATGTGTGGGTTCAATCAAAATAGTTCCTGCTTGGCGACCTCATTTGCACACTTATCGGATTGTTTTATCAGATTGATTTATCACAGTCCTAACACTATCCTTTACGTGATATCGGTAACAGCCTAACACGCTTGTCCATATCTAGGTGGCTTATGTTCGGGTTGAATGTGTTGGATTATGCTGTTTCGAAAACGGGAATATGTTATTCTCCTAACGCCACAGATGTAATATGTACTGCCTTCTAAGATATCAATAATGTGCACGTTATACGCCATGTACGTGGGCTTTAACACGCTAGAAACTCAGGATTGTGGGACCCGAGATCCGTGTTAGAATTGATTTTCAGCAACCCATGCTTGTCTTAAGAGCGACTAACGGGATCGGGTGGTCAGACTCGCTGACTTGGTTGACACATGTCATCGTATCCCAGTAGATGCTTATGATGTTGATCACTGGATTGTCTGGTCCAGACTCGATTATCTACAGACCACAGCAATATAGCTGGAATATTGGCGGCGTTAAACAACAAACAAATAAATCAAAAAACCCCATTAGCGTTCACTATTGTATTTCTTGTATTGTATATATATAGGTTTGAAGGCACCAAACGTGTCCAAGACTTACTGCACATTCGGCTTCCCACCAACAGCAAGCTGACACGCCGTCAGATATGGGGAATAATGTTCACAGTGGCGTCAAACCCAACTCACTCACTCATTCTCTATACATACATGTACGCATACAACAACATGTACTGTTGAAAGATAATTAATATGCCCACAAGACCTTGTGGTATTGATACATCACGACATCACGATTGATACTTCTATCTTCTATCATGTATATGTTCTGCTTTTATTCAAATATTTATATTTACTATGTATTGCAACATGATTGTGAACTCCTCGGGCCAGGATACCTTACCGCCGATCACGAAACGAAATGCCAAATATGTGTTTGTAGAACGTATGGTATATTCGTGACTCAAGGTAGCACGATACATGTCGATGTCGAAGATAAAACTATCCTGACACCCATGTACAGCTCATGGCGTATCTTGTATGGACATTCACAGGAAGAAGAATGCAGATGCTGGTTTCTTTTCAACAGATAATGATGAGCATCCAAGAAGAACACAAGAGATGTCAATATTGTAGCTTGCCTTGCTGCAAGTCTCTCCTGAACGTCCATGGATGTATAGTAGTTCTCGCTTTGTAAAAGGCAAGTCTAGATACGAAGACAGTACATATCAGGGCCCCGTTCCTCAAAGCGATCGTAACCCTAAGATGATTGCAACTCCAATACTTTAACATAGACTTACGACTACGGTCGCTTTGTGAACAAGGTCCTGGACGCCAATCAGTGGGGCAACGTTTTATCTATAATCTAGAAAATTAGGACCGAAAGTAATAATTTTTGCCTATACGAGTCTTGTCCAAGTCTAAATTGTACTACCAAGTATACTCTCTACAAATTCTACAAGTCGGTGACGCTGTGATTGTCAATTCGTCTGACCAAATTGTTCAGCTGGCTCTCGTACTTACATATATTACTGTACTTAAGAATGCTGTGCAATATGTACAACGTAGAGATGTGCCAGTCATGGCAACGCTGTGTTCATCGCTGTGCACGTCAATATCCATATACGACAAGAGAACACGCGCTGCTAGAGCTTAGAACGACAAGAGTACGGGCTGCTAGTGCTGACAACAAGAAGACGACGGGCTGCTAGAGCTGAGAACGATAAGAGTACGGTATGCTAGAGCTGATAACGATAAGAGTACGGTATGCTAGTGCTGAGAACGACAAGAGGACGGTATGCTAGTGCTGAGAACAAGAAGACGGCGCGCTGCTAGAGCTGAGAACGATAAGAGTACGGTATGCTAGAGCTGAGAACGATAAGAGTACGGTATGCTAGAGCTGAGAACGACAAGACGACGGGCTGCTAGAGCTGAGAACGATAAGAGTACGGTATGTTAAAGCTGAGAACGACAAGAGTACGGGCTGCTAGAGCTGAGAACGACAAGAGTACGGTATGCTAGAGCTGAGAACGATAAGAGTACGGTATGCTAGTGCTGAGAACGACAAGAGGACGGTATGCTAGTGCTGAGAACAAGAAGACGGCGCTGCTAGAGCTGAGAACGACAAGAGTAGGGTATGTTAAAGCTGAGAACGACAAGAGTACGGGCTGCTAGAGCTGAGAACGACAAGAGTACGGTATGCTAGAGCTGAGAACGATAAGAGTACGGTATGCTAGTGCTGAGAACGACAAGAGTACGGTATGCTAGTGCTGAGAACAAGAAGAGTACGGCTGCTAGAGCTGAGAACGATAAGAGTACGGTATGCTAGAGCTGAGAACGATAAGAGTACGGTATGCTAGAGCTGAGAACGACAAGAGTACGGTATGCTAGAGCTGAGAACGATAAGAGTACGGTATGCTAGAGCTGAGAACGATAAGAGTAC